CCTCTTCTCTTTTTTCAGGTATAATTTTAAGTGGTTCAAGGTCTGTTTTTAGAGAGATATATGCTTAATGTTATGAGGGCACCAAATAAACATTTACTAAAAACCATTTTCTATTCTGCCTAATGGTGTTAAAATATATCACCTAATATTTTAAAACAGAGGTCCAATATAAATATAAGTGGGTATTCTAGAGTTCTTACGCTGCTTGAATGCAAGATGGTGTTGTAACAGTCTCAGTACTGATATTCAGTGTTATCTACTGAGAAAGAGAAACGCACATCTGTAAAAGCTGATGTGTGCTGGTGTTCGTGGCAGGATTTGGACTGTCTTTAATCTCATTTGACTTGTTCATCTTCCTTTAAGGCCATCCATAAAGATGCACTGAATATCCTTTTCAGCTTTTGGTTAGGATTTGCATCAGTAGTCATAAACCTGCTCTCTGGACAAAGACACCCTTTCCTTTGAAGTAATTGCTCAAGCTTTTCAAAGTAGTCATAGAAGTCTGTCTTCTTTCTCTTTTTATTTTTCCTTAAGAAGAGTTTGAAGTGTAGCCCCTTAAACTAGCAGCAAGATAAATTTTTCTCTCCGCATTATTGAAAGCCATGACAATCTTTCAAGCAGTAAGACTTTAAAGGTTCTTAAGGGAATCTGTTCTGCTTTATGATCCGGCTTTTGGTAGATTCCACTATCTCAGAAAGCAAAGGTAAAGACTTTTGTATCCCTTAACCACTGCAAATTTTTGTCAAAAGAATTAACCTATATTTTTCAGAAGACTTTTTTTCCAGTTCTTGATTTGGTCTAGAGACTTCAGTGAGAGATTGTTGATAGCTTTGGAGTCTTTGAAAAGTAATACAGGGCCAGAATCATCTTATTTGGGGTGATGGTTTCCCCTGAGGTATTAACTGTGTGGGCTGACGCGTAGCTGGGAGGCCAGTGAGGCGAGGGCTGCCTGGAGGATGAGTTGCACAGTTCTGCGATTGTGTGTCTAGGCTTCCTGAACAGAAACGGACTCAGATACGGAGGGGTTTTGCCTTTGCTTTCAGTGGGATGTTGTCACTTGGGCTCTGCTATGATCCAGGATGATGTACACAGTGTCACTACAGGGAAGTTAAATTAGACTCTGAGAGCCCTGTCTAAAGCCTCCACTCTGCCTCCAAGCAAACCAGCTGCCCTCAGTAATTTTACTCCAAGGAGTTCCCAAAACATGCATTGAATTGAAACAGTTTTGTCCTATTTGATTTAAGTCCAACATCATACAATTATATTAGCCATAGTGAAATTTTAATGTTTAAAGTTCGTGGCAACTTATGAAAATCGAAGAAGTATTTATTTTGGACGTACTTCTTGATAAGTAGAAAATGGAAAGTGCTCGATGTGTGCAGCATACGAAGTTCAGTCTCCAAACAAGACTGAAAGCCTCTTTTCTTAGAGATGACATGATACCTCTCCTGCTGTTGTTGGATGTGGATTGATAGAGGCCCTGAATGTATGCTTCCCGTAGGCAAGGGAAGTTAAGTAGCACTGTCTTTTTAACTGGAAGTCCAGTGAATGTTACCAGTTACCTGAGAACCTAATAATCAGAAGTCTACCCTTATGCTTTTAATTTGTTGTTTTTCTTTTTCTTTCTCTCTGTCTCTCCTTCCCCCCCTATTTCCTGAACTGTCTAACCTGCTTCCTGGATTAGCAGACATTTTGCCAAACTTTGAAGCCAAAGTCCTAGCACTGAGCAGCCCCTTATGTAGAGATCAGGCTTGAGGAAAAGAAAAACTCTTTTTCACTTTTGAAATGACTCTGTATGTGTGTGTGACCTCTGATTTGTGGGGTGAAAAATGATTAATGTAGTTTGGATTATTGGAAACTAGTGTTATTTTGTAAGTAAAGCATGCTTATAAAAATCTTAATTATAAGTTTACAAAAAAAGAATTCTTATATCTTAACCTGCCTTCTGGGTTTTATCATGAGGCTTCCTAACTCTAATTTTATCATCATAGAAAACTCTCAGTATTTTTACTTTTACGTTAAAGAAAGAAATATAATTGACAGCCATCTTCTCCCCTCCTCCACCATGCTCTTGAGAAAATATTCTTAGCTATAGAAAACAAAGAGTTAGCATTGAAGTGCTTAAGTGACGATGTCCGCTGGGACCCTGTGATCCCTCTGTCCTTTGTTGACTTTGGCTTATACTTAGATTGCATTCATTTGCACCAGTTTTCTTCAAACCTTTGCTTTCCACTGAGGAATTCCAAGACAATTCAGGTTAAAACACAAATTTCACCCTGTGAAATGGTAACTTATGAAAACAACAAAAGAAGCAATCATGCCCAAAATGTATTCCTTAGATCTTAATGATTTTAATTGCTGACTAAAAAAAAGTTGCCAATAGATATAATTAGACAGTAATTTCAAAAATAACATTGTATGGTATTTTCATGGAATGTAGAGCTTCTTAGAAAAGGGGAAAACCGTGAATCAGTGCTAAAGCTTTAGTAACTTTTTAAAATGTGGCATATTTATTTCTAAATTTCTAAATTTGCCTGTTTCCCTTAAAAGTTTCCCAAATGTTTAGACTTCTAAAGGAAAAAAAAATTGCTCTTGTGACAAATTATTTCTGGCCTGGGAAATGTCAAATAAGCCTTCTAATTAAGGTGGGTCTCCTAAAGACGCTTTTAAACTCAGAACCAAATGAAACCAAGCACCTTGTTCCTCTTACCTCTTGCCTTTTAAGATGTGCTGTAAGTCTCCCTTTGCCACTAAGCACACAGGCCCATTCCAGCCACTGGCTGCCCATCCCACTGCCATCGTGGTGCAAAGTTCTGTGTGAGGCCTCTTTGACTTAAGTCTCAGTCAGAAGTACCTACAGTCACCAAAGCCATGAGGGACCATGTGGCGACACAGCTGTGTACACACGTTGTAACTATTACATGTAGCACTAGAAGAGAAGTAACTGCTGCCTTGAAGTAGAGGCCTCTCGCCTTCTCTGGTTCATGGGTTTCTTGTGCATTTGGTGAAACATGTCTTCCTCTCCACCACCCAGAAAGACAGGCAAGTACATGCATCTCGCATGAAATCTCAAAGAAGCCATTGACCTGCCTTGGTGAAAGCCCTTGCTTTGGAGGCTAGCTTAGGTTTTTTGACAGCAGCTTGGCCTTTCCAAGTACAGTAAGTTTCCGACACGGTTCCCTGACCAGCCAGACCTCTTTCCTCAGAGTGGGTGACTGCTCTGAGGGTGGCCAGGTGTCTGAGGATAGCATGACAAGTTTTTCTCTTCCATAGAGTTCCATAGCCAGTGGTGGCAAGCTACTTTACACAGTGTTAGTTCTCAGCTGTACTGTAAAATCAACCCAGATCAAAATGCAAACAGACTTCTGCTCTCTAGTTCCGTTTATAAAGGCTTTCTCTGTCTTTGTCCTTTGAGACTATAAAAGTAGAGGACTAGTTTAGTTTTGTTGTTTTTGTTGTTGTTGTTGTTTTTGAGTCAGTCTCACTCTGTTCAGGCTGGAGTGCAGTAGCATGCTCACAGCCACCCCAACGACAACCTGTTGGGCTCTGGCAATCCTTCTGCTTCAGTCTTCCAGGTGGCCGGAACTACAGGTGTGCTCTACCACGCCTGGCTTATTTTTGATTTATTGTAGAGACAAGGTCTCACCATGTTGGCCAGGCTGTTCTCAAACCCCTGGGCTCAGGCAATCCACTTGCTTTGGCCTCCCAAAGTGCTGGGATTACAGGCTGAGCCACCAAGCCTGCCCTAGTTTAGTTTTAAAATAGTGTTCTTGCCGGCTCGGTGGCTCAGCTTGTAATCCCGCACCTTTGGGAGGCTGAGGTGTGTGGATTGCCTGAGCCCGCGGGGTTCGAGACCCGCCTGGGCAGCAAGACCTCATCTCTACAATAAATAAAAAAAATCAGCCAGGCGTGGTAGCGCATGCCTGTAATTCCGGCTACTCGAAAGGCTGAGGCGGAAGGATCGCCGGAGCCCAGCAGGTCGAGGCTGCGGTGGCCGGGAGCGGCCACTGCACTTCAGTCTGGGCAACAGAGTGAGAATCCAACTCATAAATAAAATAAAATAAAATAATAAAATAAAATAAAATAATAAAAAAGTGTTCTTTTGACTAAACATCAAACCCAATTTGTCCTTGAGGCTTGGCATAAATCAAGCCCTTTATTTTTCTTATCTGTGCTGGGGCCACTGGTGGTGTGGGTTCTTATCAGCCAACCTGCAGCTTTCTTTTTAGTTCAGGACAGATACAAGTGACTTGTTCTTTCTAATTGTGAAAGTGTTCTGAGTCATCTCCTATTATTTGGATATTCCTTCTCTGTCCATCCTTCTCTAATCTCCTTTCTCTAATATTCAGTCACTATCAGTAGAATTACATGTAAGAGTTTGGGGTTTTTTTAGGCGCTCATTTGTTTCTTTCCTCCTCTCTATTCTTTGAATGAGCCATGGAGAAGTATACTCCATGAGGTTTATATATCAGGAAAATACACAAGCTTAGTAAAGATAGAGGTATTTAAGAGAGGGGCTGCTTTGAGATAGCAGGAATCCTAGTTCAGACTTCATTATGATGGGTTTCAGTGGCCCACAGAGGATGGCAGGGAGGGAGAGAGGGAAGGAGCAAGAGAAAGGCATGCCTGTTTTTGAAACAAAGATTAAGCCAAAATTCCTACTTCTATAATAATCCATTTATAATCATCTGAGAGGCTTCTTTTATATTTAGAATGTATCTGAAGCATCTTAAAATGCAGATTCTGTCATATTTAGCCCTGAGTTTTCAGCCATTGTTGCTTGATAATCATATAAGGGTTACTTGAAACTTAGCAGGATGTAGTCCTCAAAATCAAGTGATAGCATGTAGTTTGGATCTAGTCCTAAAATAAGATTTTTGGACAAATGCCCAAAGTATAAATGAAAGATTTAGGCATCATAGGAATTAGGAACAAGTTGCTGATTATTTAATCTGCCTGAACTTGAATTGACTTGTTCTTTTTATGTTTCTTTCCTAAAGGTGAGACCACTACTCCTCGGGCCATTCTGACAGGCCACGACTATGAGATCACGTGTGCTGCAGTCTGTGCTGAACTAGGCCTGGTGTTAAGTGGTTCTCAAGGTAAACCTATGGTGCTTTATAAAGTGCATGAATGTATACCTGTGTTCATAAATACATTTCTTGCTGCCTTTGAGTAACAAACTACCAAAGATTAATTTGGTACCTCTTCTCTGAAGTGTCTGTCTGCTATGGTAGCCATTAGCCACATGGGACTATTTAAATTTAATTTATCTAAAAGTAAATAAAATTTAAGTTGCTTGGTGGCTCTAGTCACATTTCAGGTGCTCAGTATTCATTCACATGTTTAGTGACTGCAGAACTGGACAGCACAGGTACAGAAAATTTCCATTGCTGTAGGAAATACTGTTTCATAGCACTGCTTTAAAGAGCTTAAGACATTTTTACAAACCTAGCCCATTAATTTTCTCGTTTCCATGAGGCACAAGCAAGGAATATCTGTGTATTTTTGTTTGTTCTTCTAAATTCTTACTGTGGGCTGGGTTCCATCAGACACCTGAATGGAAACCCCTGACCCAGTTTTAACGTTCAACTCTAAGAACTAGGCAGAGGCCAGAAAGGCATTGAGAACACAAAGTGGAAAGATACTTAAGTTGGTTTGCCTGTAGGTTTGTGCTGGTAACATCATCATATACTTAGGCCAAAGATACCGAGTGAGCTTTCTAAGAGCACATGCAACAAATCTGGACCTGACCAGGAGCAGAGCTGTTTCCAGTCCGTTGCCTGCTGCATTGTAATCATCTATCCATCTTTCTGACTCTGCTCTGATCTGAGGTCTGACCACACCAGAAAAGTACTATAAACTCACGTCTTACAGGCTTATCTGCTGGGGCAGCATAGTGTATTTGAGTCACCTTGTCTGTGTCCTGCCCTATAATACTTAGTTTAGCCAACTAAGCATATTAAATATTTAAAGGATTGTGTTCAAAAACTTAGTTGGTCAAAACATTGAAATAATAATGGTATCAAGGATCCTATAACCACTGAATTTTTTTCCCCTTCTTATACCCAATAAGCTAACACAAGTTCTTGGATGCTATGTGATCCAATTAGACTTGTAAAGGGAACCTGTCATATTACAAACCATCCTTGCTTTGTACAGTAGTGTGGAACCATAAAAGTGAGATGTGAGCCGAGACCATGCAAAGTGATCTTCATAATAAGTGGGACATTTGATTATCCCGTGGTCTTTAAAATTTTTTGCCAAAATACTCTTACTCAGTTATATAAACATAAGGAGCATTTAAGAGTATAAAAGAGTAAAACTCATTTACTTAGTACACTGTAATGTAAAACATTAGGAATATGGAGAATTAAAGCATTTTGTTTCTTTGTGAAAACCTTATCAAGAGTAGCCTGAACAAGTGCCTACCCTTCTCATTGCATACACCTGAGGAGCAGGCATTCTTCCCCCTGTGCACTGGGGAATAGCATACTTTTTTCAAAGCTGGGATCAGCTTCCAACGTTTTATCTTTTGTGCTTTCAATGTCATGAAATATTCTGTAGGATTCCTTTAGTATGAGGCTTTTGTTGGAATTACTTTGCAGACCTCATCATTTTTGTTACAACTAACTTCCTAATGTATGTCAACAAGTTCCCTGCACACCCTTCCTGGCTTCATGTCTCCGTTGTCTCCACAGTGTCAGCTTCACAGGGAGCTCTTTCCCCTATAACTCCATTTATATTCCATTCAAGTCCACTTTCGGCTTTATCATTTTTCTTTTTTTAACTGCAATTTCATCTGTTTTAGCCAGTGCCCTTTTTTTATTATTTTTTGTGAAACGTTACATGGCTTTATCAATGGGAGACAAAGAGGTAACACAACTACAGTTTACTGTCTGTGCATGAACTGAATAGCAGATGCACAGTGACCACCTAGTGACATCCACTGAAGGAAGTGATGTGATTGGTCACTGACCAAGGTGCATGCCTATTATTCACATAGGGCTTTGTGGACTGGAGAGCTGGACACACGGCGCACAGTCAGTCTGTATGTTATGCAATTGCTGTGACAGCTGAAATCTGAACTGTGTTGTTGGGGGCTGGTGTTATTTCAGGAGTGGTAACTGAATTTTATGTGTGCTGGAACTGGGCAAAGACTGCCTTGTGTGTATTTAGGTTCGAGACTTTATATATACTAAAACTTTATAAACTCCCTAAAAGACCAAGGAAAATCAAACAACCTTACTTTCAAACGGGCAAGGTTTCACGTGGGGGGCAGGCAGTGATTCTATGTGGCCACAGATTTAGCCAGGAGAGTAGCAGGGTACAGTTCCCCTTCTTGCCTGACTCAGTTATCTCTTAGAACTTTCTCATCACACAAGAAATTTGTGTTGCTTGTTCCTTCTTTGCTTTGCCTGTAGCAGGTGTCCAACAGAAACAAAACCACTCTGATAGTATGAGCTGTCAGCAATCCCCCACCTCCTCAAGCCTCTTGGCCTGGGGGGACAGCCAGGGAACTGGGAGTGGCAGATGCTGCTGTCTGCTGTGGGGCAGCAGGAGGCAGACTCTTCAGTTGCCAAGAAGCAGCAGAAGCACCCTCTGGGAGGATTGGGCGTACTGGCAGGAACCGCCTTTCAATGTCAAATAGTGAGCAGTGGGAGGGAAGAAGGCGTGGGTCTTCAGAGGTGCCGGGAGAGGCCATGGTGTTTGGTCCACCCATGTTTGTTTGGGGAGAGGCCTAGTGTTTGACCCCCCCATTTTCATTTGCATCCTAGCTTCCTTGAGGCTGTACTAGGACTTGACACTTGTCCTGTACCTTTCTGAATCCCTCCAGTGTATATTGCCTCTTAGCATAATGAATCTCATAAAGTCATTCCCATCTCTTGAGGAATAGTGTGCTTGGACCTACATGACTTGGCTTCATTCCTTTCCTAAGAGGAAGGTGAGATGTAGCCAACATAAAGAGGAGATTTTGCAAAATAACTTCCATGTGACGTGATATGCAGCTTTCCTAAGGCTTTCCATAGCTGCAGCGTGGTACTGTAATCTGTCAGACCTGTGCTCAAGATCCAGATCACATTCGTCTGTTTTCAAATTAATTTTGCCTTTTGCTTCTCCTCTCTTCTCAGAAGGACCATGTCTCATACATTCCATGAACGGAGACCTGCTGAGGACCTTGGAGGGTCCTGAAAACTGCCTGAAACCAAAACTCATTCAGGCTTCAAGAGAGGGTCATTGTGTCATATTCTATGAAAATGGCCTCTTCTGTACGTTCAGTGTGAATGGAAAACTCCAGGCCACTGTGGAAACAGATGACAACATAAGAGTGAGTGCCCTGGAGACTTTTCAGTGTTCTCAGTGTTTACCCCAAAGTGTGGCAAGTGGGGAGAGAAAGGGTTCGGCAGAGAAGCCTCTGTTTTGAGTTGCCAAAGGCCTCTTTTCCTGCCAACAGAAAACCACAAGGGAGTCTGTGGGCGAGGCTCATACATGGCATACAGCAGGCAGGTCCCCCACGCCTGCAGCATCCCCAGCTGATGCCAGGCACTAGCTCACTGGTGAAGCACAGGATGCTCCTTCCGTGGAGGTTTTTCAGGGGTTCTGAAGCTATTCTGGGTGGCTTTCAATGTCACTGCTCAGTTTTTTTGATGTCTTTTAGAAAGTGCACCGCACACTGTAGTTCTCTGATACGTTAGGTTACACCTAAAACTGGCTTCTCTTTACAGCTGACTTGGTGGGCGCTCCCAGTAGGGATTGTGACTCTTAAGGATTAGCATCTAATTTCAGACCTGACTTCTTCATGGAAAATAAGACCAAAGCATGTTAAGGGAATTGGCTTCAAATCATCATGTGAATTAGGCAAACATGTTTCCCACTTGGCACACCAGAAATGTAATGCTGGTGGGCCTTCTGGGGTCTGGCTTCATGTTCAGGACAGGGTTCAACAAATGTTAGAGTTTGGGAGAGAGGGTAAGGACTGTCCTTCAAGAGGCTGCCTTTGCCGGGCTCGGTGGCTCAGCCTGTAATCCCATGCTTTGGGAGGCCGAGGTGAGTGGATTGCCTGAGCCCGCGGGTTTGAGACCCACCCGGGCAACTTGGCGAGACCTCATCTCTACAATAAATCAAAAAATTAGCTGGGCATGGTAGCACACGCCTGTAGTTCCAGCTACTCGGAAGGCTGAGGCAGAAGGATTGCCGGAGCCCAGCAGGTCGAGGCTGTGGTGGCCGGGAGCGGCCACTGCACTCTAGTCTGCAGTGACAGAATAAGACTCCAACTCAAAAAAAAATTTAAAAATTTTTAAAAATTTACCAAGAGGCTACCTTTCCAAGGTCCTTTGTTTATCGCCTCCAGACTCCTTGGTGCAGGTTAAGGTCAGATGAAGCTGGGGTGTTCCTGTCATTTTCCAGAATGGAGACTGGGGGTGCACGTGAGAGCTGGGTACAGTGAGGACACGCTGGGGCAGGAGCAGGTCACAGGGCCTCTGCCCTGAGTGTGGCTCTAGGCTAGCTCTGGGCATTTCACTCATTGTGGTTTCCAACCGCAGCAGCTTGGGTGACATCAGTTCTCCCAGTTTCCCAAGTCTAGTCTGATTACCCCCTTCTTCCCAGTGGAGCTGGGGTCAGGAAGCACTGAGGAACTAAAGCCCTCTTGTGGGTTGCGTGGGTGGAGTCAAGGCCTCCCTGCTCTGCTTCCTCGCCCAGACTTCTCCAGTCAGCAGGCACCTCCTCCTCCTGCCTCCCCGCCAGTCGCTCCACTGCATCCCCGGCCTCCACCACACGGCTTCCACCCAGACGCACTCGCATTCGGCTTTTATTTTTCCCTTCCTTCCCATAATACTTCATTTAAACCAAGTACACATCAGAGGATTTTCCTTTCCCCTTTTCTTTACAATAATAATGTTGATAATCTGTCACTTTGAGTTGCGATTATATTGTCAGCGACGCTAATAAATCTGTGAAATAATTTGAAATCCCTAGCTGACTGAAACCATTTCCGAGGCATTTCAGTGAGTACCAGAGGCTCTGGGAAGTTCCTCGAGGCGGCAGTGGGGGGCTTCTGCAGAGTGTTCTACACACGCTCTCCGCTCTGCCCTGTAGGCATCGCTTTTTCCCTCTGTAATATTTCCCACTGGATTTTAGCTTAAACAATCCGTTGCCTTCTCCCCAGCACTCCTGCACTTTATCATGCTAACTTGCAAGTGGCAACTGTGTGACTGAATGAACGCTACCTGCCCACAGCTCCAGAGACTGCCACTTGCACAGCTAACCGCCCCGGGAACCACAGGCAGGGCCTGGGGACCTCACAGAGGAGAGGCTGCGCCTGTGTAAGGAAAGGACACCATGGAAGCAAAGTAGTCATCAACTCAGACCAGAAATCACTTTCCTGTGAAATCCCAAGAACTCTGCAGGCAGGCGGCCTGGGGAAGCTCCACACTAGTCAAGGCTTCCCACCTGGTTTTATTTGAGATGCCAGCTTGTTCAGTGACATTTCAGTTAACAGCATATCGTACATAGTACATCAACTAGGCAATGTTTAGATGTCTTAATGAATAACTTAAATGTAAGCAGGCAGCCTTACAGAGCAGCAGGGTTATTTTACCCTAAGCAAAGGATAACCACCATTTTGCCCGTAGGAACTCATTTCTTTTCCTGAGGCTGTGTTTTAGGCTGTGGTTGTCCCCCAACAGACTGCTGTGGCCTGCTGGTACCCCCTTAAAAACCAGAGCAGCCTCCATGTTGTCCAGAATACTTAGAATTTCAGAGGATGAGATTAACATATCTCTGGGGCCCTCTGAAAATCTCCAGTCACAACCCACCCTGGGTACCGAGAAAGCCTATATGAGTTTGAGTGGAAGTTATGGTACCATTCGGGAAATGTACCTGGCTCTTACTGCCAGAGGAATTTGACAGGTCCTCATGCAGGAGGCCAAAAATGTTTTTTCACCTTGGGAGGCACCTGGTTCATTAAAATGTTTTTAATGCTGATGCACGTCTAGGTTTTATTTAATTCCAGACAGAAGTAGGATTAGAGATTCTTTATTAGAACAAAGAATTAAAGATTAATGATTTTAATATGTTTTAATAGAGCACTTATCCAGTAAAAAGCCTCAAGTATAAAATTCAAGTAAACCACAACCAGAAGGTTAATGGATTTTCATCAGAGAATTTTATAAGTGTAGCAAATAACTGTTTGTCCTAGCTTCACAGCAGTTCGCAGAGACCCCCTTAGAGATCACTACTTACAAAATGAATGCGACGAGGATACTGATTTGTACTCATTTTTTAAAAATCGTAATATGTTTAGTTAATGAATACTTCTTATATGTAACTGTCTTCCACACATGCGTTTTTATTTCTTAGGAGTATTTTTGTGTTCTTGAGAATAAACTATATTTAAGGGACTACTAAAAGTTGGCATTTATGTGAACAGGACTTGGATGGCTATGAAACAGTTTTTACTTTTCTATGATTTTTTTTAAATGTGTCTGAGGGAAAGCAGCTATGCTAAAACTCTGAGAACAGTGCAAATATATTTTTCGGAAGTTAGATTATTTTTCTTTCTGGTTTGCTAGCACAATCTGTACTCCCATGTTCACTCTATCTAGGTGGACATAAGATAACAGGCATTTGCAGTGACTGTTGGAACTCCCAACTCTACCCACTTAAAAAAGGACATTTGTATCTTCATAAGCTGGAAAAACAAGGCTTGGAGGGAAGGAGCAGGAGAGGTGGGGACAAGAGAATTGGTTTTGGAATAGGGAGGGACCTTTTATATCAGGAATCTGCACACTTTCTCATTAAAGGCACAGAAAGTAAATATTTTACGCTTTAGGGCTCTGTATTCTCTGTTGCAACTACTTGTGAAGTAGCAATAAGCAAATGAGTGTGACTGTGTTCCAATAAAACCGTATTTATGGGCATTCAGATTTGGAATTTCTATAATATTCACGTCATGCAAAAAATTTGTGTAACCATTAAAGATGTAAAAACAGGCTGGGCACAGTGGCTCAGGCCTATAATCCCAGCACTTTGGGAAGCTGAAGCAGGAGGATTGCTTGAGCCCAGGAGTTCAAGGCTAGGCTGGACAACATAGTGAGACCTCATCTCTAAAAAAAATTAGCCAGATGTGCACACCTGTAAGTCCCAGCTACTTAGGAGGCTGAGGGATTGCATGAGCCCAGCAGGTCAAGGCTGCACTGAGCTGTGATTGTACCACTGCACTCCAGTCTGGGTGACAGAGTGAGACCCCCAACTAAAAAAAAAAAAAAAGAAAGAAAATTGTATAGAAATAGGCGGTGGTCTACATTTGGTCCACAGGCTTTCATTTGTGGATGCCCATTTTACAGAATCAAAGCGTACATTCTAGGATTGCACCATCTGTTCAGCACTGACAGGAAAGGACAGGGGGCCACACACTAGCACTGACTAAATGACAGGCTGGGGCACTGTCAATCTTGGGGCAGGAAAATGCTGAATCTGGGGTTTAATCACTCTGGAAGTTGTGGCTATCTACCAAGTCTTACTCCCAACTGCTGTGAAAATCCAGAGCAGGTACTGAGGCTGCTGGACGCTACCCTGGGGTCTGAGACACAGGGCAGCAGGGTCTTGGAAGGGATGTGAGGTCAGCTGACACTGTCTGCCAAGTTCCAGACAAAATGGGCTGGCCTGTCCACAGTTCACCAGAAGAGTGATTAATTGGAGCCAGGAGCCTCCTCCTTGGAGTGCTGGTCCCAGTCTGTGCTCACACACCACTCCAGCAGCATGGCGTGGATTGGATGAGTTTGCCACTTCATTCCTAAAAAGGCAAAAATTCAAAAAGCAAAACCAAAACAATCGCAAGTCTTGCGTGACTGTCCACTCGATATGTGGAAAATGGCAAGTCTTCTACAGTCATGAATTCCTAAAAGTTCCTAAGGATCTGTCTCTCCTGCCCCGGCATGCAGAAGCATAGCATGGGAATGGAGCCAACACAGGGTGGGGCCAGCACTGGCTAAAATCACATCTCCACTGACCGTTACTGTGTCCCACAGGCCATCCAGCTGAGCCGAGATGGGCAGTACCTGCTCACAGGAGGAGACGGTGGGGTGGTCGTGGTCCGGCAGGTATCGGACCTCAAGAAGCTCTTTGCCTATCCAGGCTGCGATGCTGGCATCCGGGCCATGGCACTGTCCTACGACCAGAGGTAACCAGGGAATCACGGCACATTGCAGAGGGGAGTTTCTTCATGTGGGCTGATACATGTTGAGCTGGGGAGGGGGGCGCGGCTGCGCAATTTTAAAAGCCAATGAACATTTAGGTTTCCAAGAACATGTTTGAAAAAGCATGATTTTCTTTCTGATGACCTTGCCACTCTGGAACAAAATCAGAATTCTCAAGGAACAGACAGAATTTAAGTAGCAAAGTCTCCAGTGACATTGCTGTAAAGCTTTTTATATTTCTTTAAAGTACCTTTTTTTCATAAATCAAATTTTAGGAGCTATAAACATGTGTAATATGAAATGCCTTTATCTCTGCCCATGAGGATTCCACTGAGTGATAAGTATTATTTCCTAAAACCTCCCAAGTGGTAAATTTTGGGGGATAATCTTTATCTGGCATCTATTTCCTCTTAACATTTAGTTCCTATATTTTTTATCGTGGCAACATATACACAGCATTTACCATTTAAACCATTTTTCAGTGGACAATTCAGCGGCATTAAGAACATTTACGGTGTTGTGCCACCATCACCACCATCCATTTCCAGAACTTTTTTGTCATCCCAAACGCTTTACCTGTCAATGACTCCCCCTCTCCTAGCTCACTTCCATTCTACTCTGTCTTTATGAATTTGCCACTTCTAGACCCTTCTGTAAGTGGAATCATATAGCTATGTGTCCTTTTGTGCCTGGCTTATTTTACTTAGCATAATGTTCTCAAGGTTCATGCATGTTGCAGCAGGTGTCGGAATCTCATCCCTTTTTAAGGCTAAATAATCCATTGAAAGCATATACTGTCTTTTGTTTATCCATTCATCTACTGATAGACACTTGGGTTGTTTCTATCTTTTGACTGTTATAAGTAATGATGCTTTGAACATTAGCATACAGATATCTGTTCAAGTCCGTGTATACAGTCCTTTAGGGTATATACCCAGGAGTGGAGTTGCTGAGTCATATGGTAATTCTGTATTTAACTTTTTGTTGAACTGCCGGACTTTTCCACTGTGGCTGCACCATTTTGCATTACCATCAGTAATGCACAGGGTTCCAGTTTCTCCACATCCTCACCAATACTTGCAGTATTCCGGTTTTGTTTTTTTGTTCTTTGTTTAAAAAATAATAGTTGTCCTAATGAGTGTGACGTGGTCACTCAATTATGGTTTTGATTTATAGTCCTCTAAAGACTAGTGATGTCTTTTTGCTCTTCTCATAGTGTCCTTAGCTGCACAAAAGCTTCAAATTTTTATGAAACCCACTTTTTCTTCCTTTTGTTACCAGTGCTTTTGGTACCATGTCCAAGAAATCATTGCAAAATTCAAGATTACGAAGTTTTTCACCTATGCTTTCTTCTAAGAGTTTTATGGTCTTATGTTTAGGTTTTTAATCCATTTAACTTCGTTTTTATATAAAATGGTAGTCAAGGATCCAACTTCATTGTACTGCATGTGGACATCCAGTTTTCCCAGCAACATCTATTGAAAAAACTGTACTTTCCGAACCATTGAATGATCTTAACACCCTGTTGAAAGTTATTTAATTATATATGGGAAGGCTTGCTTCTAAACTCTGTATTTTATTGGTCTTTCAAATCAGGAAATGTGATACTTCCAACTATTTCTTCTTTCTCAAGATTGTTTTGGCTATTCACAGGTCCCTTGAGATTCCATATAAATTTTAGGATGGGTTGTCTAGTTCTGAAAAAAAAATTATTGGGATTTTGATAGGGATTGCATTGAATTTGTAGATTGCTTTGAGTAGCGTTGATATCTTGATATTAAGTCTTCCAGTGCATCAACATGTCATGTGTTTTCATTTATTTACGTCTTTTATTTCTTTCATTAGTGTTTTGTAGTTTTCAAAAGTAACAAGTCTTCTGCTTCCTAGGTTAAATTTATTCCCTGATATTTTATTCTTTTTGATGCTATTGTGTAAGTGGAATTGTTCTTAATTTTCTTTTTGTATTGTTAGTGTATAAAATGCAACTGATTTTTGTGTTGATTATATATCCTCCAAATTTGCTGAATTCATTTATTAGCTCTAACATTGTTTTGTGGAATCTTTAGGATTTCCTACATATAAGATCATGTCATCTATGAACAGATAATTTACTTCTCCTTTCCCATTTGGATGCCTTTTCTTTTTCTTGCCTAATTGCTCTGTCTAGGACTGTCAGTACTTCATTGAATAAAAGTGATAAGAGTGGGCATCCTTGCCATGTTCCTGATCATAGGGGGAAAACTTTTGAGTATGATGTATGCTATTCCTTATTCATAAATGCTGTTTGAGATAGTTTTCTTCTATTCCTAGTTTGATGAAAGAATGAATTTTGTCAAATGCCTTTTCAGCATCAATTGAGATGATCATGTGGGATTTTTTTGTACATTCTGTTAATGTGGTATATTATGTTGATTTTTTTTATGTTGAATCATCCTTCATGCTAGGGATAAATCCTGCTGGGTCATGGTGTATATCCTGTTAATAGGCTGATAAGTTCAGTTTGCTAGTATTTTATATTTGTATGCATTAGGAATATGATCTGTACACTCTTTTTTTGTAGTGTCTTTGTCTGGCTTTAGTGTCAGGGTAATGTTGTCTTCACTGAATGAGTTAGGATGTGTTCCTTCCTCTTTAGTTTTTTGGAAAAATTTGAGGTGGTTAGTGTTAATCTTTTTTTAAATGTTTGGTAGAATTCATCAGTGAAGGCTTCTGGCCCAGGACTTTTCTTTATTGGGAGGTTTTTGATTACTGATTCAGCTTCCTCACCTAGCTATAAGTCTAGTCAGTATTTCTATTTCTTCATGGTTCTGTTTTGATATATTGTGTGTTTCTAAGAATGTGTTCATTTCCTCTAGGATATACAATTTATTGGTATACAATCGTTCCTAATATTCTCTTATAATTCTGTTATTTTTACAAAATCAATTATGATGTCCTCACTTTCATTTCTGACTTTGGTAACTTGAATCATCATTTTTTGTCTAGCTAGAGGATTGTCAATTTTGTCAACATTTTCGAAAAACCAGCTTTCAGTTTGGTTTTTCTATTGTTTTACTATTTTATCTATCTCTGTTCTAATCATTTTTATTTTCTTCCTTCTGCTGGCTTTGGGTTTAGTCTGCTTTTCTTTGTCTAGTTCCTTAAAGTGTTATGTTAGGTTACTGTATTGAGATATTTCTTTTCTAAGGTATGTTTACAGCTATAAATTTCCCCCTTAGCATTACTTTTGCTGCATTCTGTAAGTTTTGGCAGATTGTGTTCTCATTTGTCTTAGGGTGTCTTCTAATTTTTCTTATGATGTTTTTCTTTGACCCGTTATTTAATTTCCACGTATTTGTGAATTTTCCTGTTTTCCTTGTGTTATTTTCATTCTGATCAGAAAAAGTACTTTAATCGATTTTAATCTTTCTAAATAATTAACACTTGTTTTATGGCCTAATATGTGGTTTATCCTGGAGAGTATTCCAGGTGCATTCTATTGTTCCTTGATGGATGTCCCATATATTTGTGTTAGGTCCAGTTGGCTTAGAGAATTGTTCAAGTGGTCTGTTTCCTTACTTTTCTGCCTGGGTGTTCTGCTCATTATTGAAAGTGGGGTATTGAAGTCTTCAGCTGTTATTGTAAAACTGTTTCTCCCTTCATTTCTTTTTGTGTTTGCTCCATATATCTTGGGGGTTTGATGTTTAGTGCATATGTAATTGCTATATTTTATAGTGTCCTTCTTGGTATCTTGCACAGTTTTTGACTCAAACTACATCTCAGCTCTTTTTTTGTTACTATTTACATGGAACATATTTTTCCATTCTTTCAACCTGTTTGTGTCTTTAGATCTAAAGCAAGTCTCCTGTAGACAGCGTTATTGTTGGATCATGTATCTTATCCAGTCTGCCAGTTTCTTCCTTTTGTCTGGAGAGTTTAGTCTCTTTACATATAAAGTTTAACTACTGATAAGGAAAGACTGACTTGGCCTTTTTGTTTTCTGCCTGCCTCAGTTTTCTTCTTGTTTCCTCATTACCACCTTCTTTTATGCTTTTTGTTTTGGTTTGGTTTTTTAGTGACACATTTTCAATTCCTAATTTTGATACAAGGTACCAGGAAGGATGTCAAATATGGCTTCTAAAGTCCAATCCTGGCCCAACTACTCAGGAAAAGGTCCCAGGTAACAGCTCGGCCTTAGAGCAGCTCCAAGAAAGTCTCCTCCACACTGTTCATCTCTCTCCTCATGCCACTCCTCAGGGCAGGAGAGCAGCAGCTGCAGCTCCTGTGTTTAGGGACTATCAGTGAATCGCTGTCCCCTGCTGAGAGCATGATGGACACAGAATATTCCTCTGCAGAGGAGAGACCAGCCCAAATTATGGTCGTCACACTTCTTACTCTCCACTGATTCCACACCTGTCAGACATGATATCTGTGTCACTGGAACGTGTGCTGCTTCCTCCACCAGGAATTACTTTGAGGCTGTGAGTCCTTTTGGCTCTGATGCCTCTGGAAAGGATAGGTCCTGCCAGCCCAGCACCGCCCCCCCCATAAATGACAGAGGTTTTAGCGACTCATCCTGCACATACTGGTTGTACTTGCCTTTTCAATGAAGAAACAAGCAGCGGCAGATCCTTGTGGCATGTCAGAGGCAGTACTCTGAGCTCACTCAGGGATGCATTTCTGTCATGGGAAGATACCCCTTGGTGCTCTCACACTGTAGGTTGGACAGCCATCCTCTGTGTTTACCCGGGATAGGGGGAGGGCCGTTGTTTCTTTAGTCACAGATCCCTGGGAAACACAGGTCGGTAACACCCTCCTTCTCTGTGCTTCTCCAGGTGCATCATTTCCGGCATGGCTTCAGGAAGCATTGTTCTGTTTTACAACGATTTTAACCGGTGGCATCACGAATACCAAACCCGCTACTGATGATGACAGCTGCACATTGGCCCTGTGCCCCCAGCTGGGCAGGGGAGTACCCGAGCATCGTTCTCTTAGAAATAGCGATCACATCTGAATGTAACTTAAATTTGCTCGAAGAAGCAAAATATTTTTTAAAATTGCTATTTTTGTAGACTTTGCTTGACTTTTGGGGGGGAACAGCAAAGCAGAAAACTGGCTGCTGGGTTCTGTAGTTTTAAAAAATCTATATTTTTAGTCATAATGAGAAGTCTATTTTCAGCAATTATGGAAACATACAGTGGAGCAAGTCAACCCACTTATTCTAGCTACATTATGAAAAATGTTTCCCGTTTATCTACAATCTTGAGAAATGTGATTTTAACAGTGGGGAAATGGGTTAAAATACCGGGATGGGGGATTTTATGCTGTAATTTGGGTTCTGTATTTTTCCAAACAATTGTGCTTCTTTCAGCACTGAAATTTCTGGGATCTAAGTAGGTATGTTTAAATTATGGTAAATGTAATTTAAAACATCTCAATGAATTATTTCTATCAATGTTATTCTTCGAGCATGTTTTAGACCTAGAAAAGTATGGTTTGGGAGAGGCTCTTTTATTTTGTTGTGTGGTTAATGTGAAGGATCCTAAGTTATAGCAAGTGTGAAATAGTTCCCGTTTTTTTCCTGGTCTGTTGTCTTCAGAGCACAACAGAGTGAAAGGATGGAAGTGCTCTGGGTTCACCACCTTTGTTTTTCTGTTAAACGCAAGTACCAAAGCTCACTCCTGAGGCTTGCCCGTGCCCATGCAATGAGGCACAGCCATCGCTAACGCTGCCCCCCGCCCCCCACCGGTTGAGAACAGAGGCTACCTGGTGCTGTATTAAGCAACACCCATTCTACCTTCTATTTGTTATTAAACTATCTCCACCCTCCTTTTGATTAGGAATTTGTACTAAGAAACAATGTTATTTTGGTGTTGTATAATTCTACTTTTCTAGTAGATTGCTGTGTGGAGTTCTGTGAAAAATATTTGAGAAAAGATCTGTATTGCATAAATCAGTTCTTTGTATGTTGTGAACTTTGAGTTGAAACTAACATTCTAGCTCTATTTCTCTTGCAACTTACCTGAAGTGGTCACTCTTTTTTCCTACACACTCGGCTATTCTCTAAAAGCAAAGGTTTGGAATGAACAATTCTGTTTGACAGAAAAAGCGGAATAAAATGGCATTTGTAATTGAATTGTTGGCAATATCTTTTTTGTTCCTAAAGTTTAAATAGTAATAATCATTAAGAGAAAATGCTCAACTCTAGTTCAGTCATAGTTTTTGCTCAATAACCTATAGGATGGAGTCTTTCCTGACCAAAATCAGAAAAATGGGCTTTCTCTGGCAGATATCTCCCTCTGACTGGTACTTCGACAAATGACCTAGGCCTGAATCTTACAAACAGCTAAACAAGGGACTTTAGGTATGTTCCCATCCATGATCCAACATTTTATAAACCATTAAGAAGGAAAGTAATAGACAGTAAAATGCAGGGAAGGGAAAGTACATCTTAGATTTTTTAAAAGCCCAAGTTAGAATCAGTATTGTTAAGACATCCATCCTACCCAAGGCAATCTACAGATTTAATGCAATGCCCATTAAATCACCAGCAGCATTCTTCTCAGACCTGGAAACGATAATACAGGAATTCATATGGAAACATAAATGACCACAAGAAGCCAGAACAATCCTCAGCAAAAAAACAAAGCAAGAGGCATTACGCTTTCAGACTTTAAGCTTTATTATAAAGCTACAATATTCAAAATAGCCTGGTATTGGTACAAGAACAGGCATATAGACCTATGGAACAGAATAGAGATTCCAGAAGCAAAGCATCAATTTCTCAGCCAAATCACCTTTGACAAAGCCTCCATCACCAACCACTGGGGAGAAGAGAACCTATTTAGTATAGGGCTGGGAAAACTGGCTGATCACATGCAGAAGATTAAAACAAGACCCCTACCTATCACCACACACAAAAGTCAATTCTAAATTAATCAAAGATCTAAACATAAAACCTCAAACTATAAGAACCTTAGAAAATGCAGGGGACACCCTATGGAAATTGGAACTGGCAACCAATTCCATGCCATAAGAGATAAGATAGACAAGTGGGACCTCATCAAACTGACAAGCTTCTGCAAAGCCAAAGAAATCTTTGAGAGAGCAGGGAGACAGCCCACAGAATGGGAAAAAAATATTTGCTAACAAAATATTTGTATACAAATATACAAATATTTGTATATCTGACAAAGGCCTAACATCTAGGATCTACAAGGAACTCAAACGTGCCAAAAAGAAAAAAACAGCCTCAATACAAAGTGGGCAAAAGTATGAATAGACACTTCTCAAAAGAAGATATTACAAGCAACCAACAGATACATGAAAAAATGCTCCGCCTCACTAGTCATCAAAGAAATGCAAATTAAAACCACACTGAGATACCACCTAACTCCAGTCAGGATGGCCATCATTTATAACTCAAAAAACAACAGATGCTGGAGAGGATGCAGGGAAAAGGGAATACTTCTCACTGTTGGTAGGAGTGTAAACTAGTACAACCTCTGTGGAAAACAGTGTAGCGATTCCTAAAAGATCTCAAAATTGACCTCCCATATGACCCTGCAATCCCCCCCTACTGGGAATATACCCGGAGGAACTCAAATCACTCTATGAAAAAGATGCCTCCATACGCATGTTTATTGTAGCATTATTCACAATAGCAAAAACACGGAACCAACCGTGTTGCCTATTGAAAGATTGGATTTTAAAAATGTGGTACATATACACAATGGACTATTACGCAGCCATAAAGAAGGACAAAATTATGAACTTCACAGCAACTTGGATGGACTTGGGGTCTATAATACTGAGTGATCTATCACAGAAACAGAGAACCGAGTATCACGTGTTCTCATAAGTGGACCTTGAACGACTAACACTATAAGAAAAGGATTGGCAGTAGTGGGAAACTGCCAGGGGAGAATGGGGCTGGGACTGGCAGTAGTGGGAAACTGTGGAGGGGGGCGGACACACCTCATCAACAAGGGTACCTGCACAATGAACATTTGTATGCCTAACCCTGAACTGTACCCCACATATTTAAAATAAAAAATAAAATTTTAAATGACCAAGTTAATGGTAAATTAACTGACAGAACATCCTCACTGATAGTAACTTGTGAATATTATACTTTGGGAACTTGAACAGTAGTGGAAGAAAATTAGCAATACCTAAGTCATGTACCGCATGTCTGATACTTCACCTACCCTGTCTTAACAAGCCTAAAGCAAGGGTAATAGAGCAGTTTCCTCTTGGAACCTAAAAAAGAAAAAAGAAAAAAAAACACAGTCTCTCCACTGCCTTTATTGTTTTTAAACTTTACAACTAAGGAAAATTAACTGAAACATAAGTAAAGTAATTCTTAATAAAAAAATATTGTTGGCATCAACATAAGGGCTTCCTAATGATAAGATCTAGTTAGTATATTTGTTGTGGTTTATGCAACATTCACTTATTTTATCCAATCTTAACTCCTAAAAAGAACACCCCACCATCACTTCAAATAAATGTAAACCAATTAAGGAAAAATCAAAGCAGAGGTGGTTTGGGTCTAAAATCGAACGACCCACAGCAGCAGAAGTGTGGCCGCACGTGAGGCAATGTGGCTGGATGGTCGAGAGTCTGGTCCACACACAGGAACTGAACCACCATTAGGCCTCTGGGAGAAAGCAAGAGGGCTTGAAGAACAGAGAACCTGGAAATCTGAAGCTCGTTGCTGCAGACTTGCAGACCGATCACACTCAGTGAGCGTCTTTCTCCCACTGTGGCCACGAATCAGTGGTTTATGAAGTCAACCCAAAAGAACTCTGACCCTATGATGAAACACCACACTTAAGTTCCACCTCGCACACAAAACAGGGCGAGTCCAGGTGTCCTGTGCGGGAACCACGAGCAGCACTCAGCTCAAAGAGCAGAACTGAGCCAGAGGGTCAGGAACATGACCACACACGCCTGGTGTCTCGTGTCCTCCTCTCAGGGGCATGAGATGGCAGTGGTCGTGTGAGTCAATTGCAGGGGGTGGCCAGAGAATCCCAGGATGCTGTCAGACTCACCTACTTTGTCCCCCCTTTTAGTAAATTGAATTGAACTAAAACAGCATGAGCAGTGTAGATCCACTGAGAGAGTTGGTTGGGGTTGAAATTTTCACCAGGTTCTTTGGTATTTTTTACTGGATGTTAAAATCACATGCAAACCATGGACTTGGCTTGTTCCTTCCAACTACGTCAGTCCTCCGCATTCTCCATCACTGCTAAAGAAGACAGAAGGCCAGTGATGTGAACAGGTTCCTTCTGGGTCAAGAAGCAGGAGTGTTTCCTTGAAAGAGCTGGAAGAGCCCACCACTGAGCTCGGTGGAAAAACTGCCCAGTTCCTGGTGTGTGTCGGGTTACGGGCTGGCAGCCAGCCCCACAGCCTCATGTGAAATCACATCAGGCCAAAGCGTGTTCACAAACAAAAGCAGAATGGGGCTGAAATCCCCAAGTCTGCATAAGCCACACACATGATCAAATACACCAGTGCCTCCACCCAGCTACGTGTGCCCTTCCCCAGTGGGAGGAAATCATTGTCTCCTTCAAGCAGGGCAGAAATCCTAGCAGCTACCTTCCTTTTTTGTAGCATAAAGTCTATTCACTCTTTATCCTGTGGACTTCACAACTTATCCCTGCAGGGGAAGGAGGCTGGGAAGTTTCAAGACTTCCTACTTGACTTATAAGCAGGAAGGGGAGGACCTCAAAACTGCAAAAAAGTTAGCCAAGCCAACAAACCCCATTTTTACAGTTTTCTTCTGTTTCCTCTGGGATAAGTAGAAGAATCATCTTTTGGATTTTTCTTTTAGATAAGTTTGGAAAGTTCAGTCTATGAAGACATTCCCAGGTCCTTTGTACTCATAAGAATACTATTTAAAAACCCAAAGCTGGCCGGTCACAGTGGCTCGTACCTATAATCCCAGCACTTTGGGAGGCCGAGGCAGGAGGATTGCTTGAGCTCAGGAATTTGAGACCAGCATGGGCAACATAGTGAAACCTTGTCTTCACAATATTAATAATAATAAAAACCCCAAAACTACTGTTAACAACACTGACACATCACTCCCAGCCTGGGCTGCTATGAACCAGAAATGCAGATTGCTCAGACCAGGGCATATCACATTTTTCTCTTAGTGAAACCAAGGGTGGTGTGACCCCTACGGCACGCTGTCTCCTTGGAGAGAGCCAGGCTCCTCCAGCCAGGTCAGAAGACAAACTACAAGTGTTGCTATGAATTCCAACACAAGAGCCATCATATGCCAGAAACATGAAGTGAATTATTTTTCTGTCTCCAGTTACGAATATTTTTCCTTGCCAAAACCAAGATTTGGGGAAAGCTGGGCAGGCATGTCACTTCCTCATCCTGGCAGGAAGAAGCTGGCTGCTTTGTAGCTTTGGGCTTGGGTGGTTGGAAAGACGTTTCCCAGGTCCGACTCCCACCTCAGCACCAACAGGCGTTCAAGCCTCGCGATGCGCCAGGCTCGGCCCACGGTGACGAGGCCATCCTGACCGTGCTAGAGGCTTGTGGCGCTTGGATCTGCCCAAGTGAAAGGGCCATGGTGGGCAGAGGATTGTCTCCTCAGCAAATAGGCCTTTTTCCTCCCCTCAGCCATTCAGCACTGGCAGAACTGTCCTGTTCGTCCTTTTATCACAAGACTTAAAAGCAACTTAAAACCCTTGGCCAGGATTAGCCAAGGTTTTCCTGTCGGCCTCCCTCTGGAGAGACCACTTGGACTTTGATCTAAACAGCCACAGGACTAACGCGTCGGTGCCTCTGATGACTTCGCAGCCTCCTCCCCACCCCACCCTGCCGGACGACACACGCGTCCCTCTGACCGCTGAGGGGAGCAGCCACATTCGAGGGACACCCGCCCTGGACGCCAGGAGCGGCAAGGCCAGCCAGCAAGCCTGGATGAGCCTGGCCATTCCGAATCTCCTCCTTTATTAAACGAAGATGTAACTTGGCATCTGCCGCTCAGGGCCAGGGCGTAGCGCCAAGGAGATGAGACGGAAGGCACCACAAGCAGCCATGTTTCGGGATTGTGACTGTCGAGTGCATCCAGGCATTTCCAAGAACTGCAGGATCACTCCTGACTCTGCCACTGGT